TTCAAAGCCAGCCTCAGCTACAGCGAGTCACTAAGCAACTCAATGAGACTCTGTCTCTAAATAAAATACAAAATGGGGTGGGGGATGTGGCTCACTGGTTGAGTATCCCTGAGTTCAATCCCGGTACCCCCCCAAAAAGGAATGAAGCACTGAACGGTACACTAAGACACGCTACTAAACAAGCCTAAAAATGACTGCTAAGTGAAAGAAGCTGGGCACAAAGGGCTCTTATTGTCAGACTCTATTTATATGGAATGTCCAGAAGAGGCAAATCTACAGAGACAGAAAATTGATTAGTGGTTGTCTAGGACTGGGAGGCTGAGAAGAAATGAGGAGCGATTGCTTGTAGATATGGCATTTCTTTGGGGTATGGTAAAAATATTCTAAAATTGATTGTGGTGAAGCTCATACCAGTTTGAACATTTGAAAACCACTTAATTCCCCAGTTTCCATGGGTGAATCATATGGTATGTGAATTCTATCTCAATATCTATTTAAAAACACTTAGCCAAGGCCAGTGCTATAATACCAGCTACTGGAGGACTGAGGCAGGAGGATGGTGGTAAGTTCAGCCCAACATCTAACCCTTGATTCAAGTCACCTTGAATCTAACCTCATTTCAACTGATCCCTTGATGACTCCCCAAACTGCCAAGCACTTTCTCGGTTCACCCCACTTCTGCAATCCACCTTAATTCAACCCAACAGCCAATTCCTGATTCTCATCTCATTTTTCAGTTCTTTAAATTTTCCTTTGTTTATTTATTTTTAGGTGCTGGGGATTGAACTCAGGGGCACTCAACCACTGAGCCACATCCCCAACACTATTTTTTTATTTAGAGACAGGGTCTCACTGAGTTGCTTAGTGACTCGCTGTTGCTGAGGCTGCCTTTGAACTTGCGATCCTCCTGTCTCGGCCTCCCGAGCTGCTGGGATGACAGGCGTGCATCACTGCCTCGGCTCTCATGTTATTTTTAGTTTAACTTCCCCACCCCCAGCCCTTACCTCCCAGTCACTTCAAGCCACAGCTCCTACCTGTCTCTCCAGCCCACCACCCACCCGCTGACTTGCCACTCAGGTCTTTGGCCTCTACTGATTTCACCTCAACCTATGACCGTGTCTCCTTATCAGCTCTCCATTCCCCCGCTCAGGGCAGCCAGAGATGCCAGCACTGACCAAAGCCAACATGGGAAGTTGGGTATCTTCAACTTTTCCTCCAGGATTCTGGGCTAGTAAACACGCCCATGACTTCCAGCAAGTGTCATTATAATTAACCCCCCCTCAAAGGGGCACCCCTAATTGAGACAGGTGGGGGCAGGTCCTTCCAGTGAGACAAGAGCTGAACCCTAAGAGAGAGGCGGCCGAAGCCAGATGAAAGACGGAGACGAGACACAGTTCCGTGGTTTATTCTCAGACTTGAGATGCCAATTTTGCCCCTGGGGGTAGGGAAGAGTGGGGTTGTGCGGGAATCTCTCTCATCATTTCCCAGCCTTCCTGAAGAGGAAGCAGATTAAATATACAACAGAGGGGCTTTTCCCTTTTAATACACACCCGGGTATAAATAGGGCAGCACCATTAGGATCCTGATTCGTCCCCACCATCCTGGTCCACAAACCACCTGGCCCGGCGAGGTAAGCTTGGGGGAATGGGAGGTGGGGGCTGGGCTGAGGCAGCAAGGAATACACAGCTCTGTCCAGGGAAGTCCTACTTCCCTCTGTAGTCTGACTTCAGTCCCTTCACCGTGAACCCACGTGGGAATGAGAATGAGGGAAGAGGTCCCAGATGAGATCAGGAGACATCCAGTGCTTAACTATGGGGCAGGGGAGCACCAAGGAGTGTTGGGGGCACTGACGGAGGGCCGGGGGCGGGCGGAGGGGGGCATGTGACTCGGAGTTAGAAGCTCACTGCACGGTGGGGGGGGTTCACGGGCAGGAGTTGAGGGGTGAGTGAGATGGAGGAGAGGAAGGGCCAGAATGCACCTGCGCCACCCGGAAGGGGGGACGCCTGAGCCCTTGGGCCAAGGAGTCCATCCCTCAGCCCCCAGAAGGGAGGAGTATTGTTGGACCTTGACCAGCGGAGTCACACCTCCTGGCTCAGAGTCCCAAGAGATGATAAATATGGTGGCTTCAAAGCCTCAGCACCAAGTGTGCCCGGTCCAGGGCTCCCTCGCTGTCCTTCCCACCCCCCAGACTCTCAGCTGCTGAAGCAGACAGGCCCCAGTTCAAACCCAAACTTCTGGTTCGTCTGGCCAAAGTCGAGGGCGGACACGTCCCACAGGGGCAGAAAGCCGGCTCGGGAAGAGCTGAGCTCCAGGAGGGTCTTGGCCTGTCCCTTCCGGAGCTGACGAGAGAAGACAGAGCCGGTGGTGAGCCAGGAGGAGGGAGCAGCAGCCTCTCCTCCCGGTGCGCTGTGGGCACCCCTGCTCCAGCCCCTCACCCGGCAGCCGTCGTGGGGAACTCTGATGCTGGCTGCTGTCGTCTGGTTGAAGGACAGCTCTTCCCCATTTGTGCCGAGGAAGCGCAGGGAGCGGCCGTGGTCGCCCGCAGCTTCATCCAGCCAGGCCACGGAGTTCTGGCAGGAGTAGGTGAAGCTCTGGCGGGCCACGGCGCTCAGCAGCTTCAGGAAGGTCAACTGCACCACGTTCACCGGGGACCCATCAGCGTCCACGTAGGAGAACTGAGGGGCAAGGCAGGGAGCCAGGGGTTCCGATAGCCAGGTTCTCAGAAGAACCCACCTTCCAGAATCTCCGCCCACCGACATCTCCCCACGTCCCCACCTCTAGGGCAGCCCCAACCCCCGGCCTCAGATCCAAAGTCGAATCCCAAGCCCCCTCTTCATGGAGCAGATCACCAGGCCTGGCTCATCGGACTCCCAAACCTTGGCCACTTGTTCCACCAAATCTAGGCTTGTAACATGCTCAAAGCGAGGCAGAACTTAGAAATTCTATCTAGACCATGGCTCTTGTGAGCTCCTGATTCACACAACCAATAGCTCCCCACATTCTGTATCTGCTCTATTCAATATGGCAGCCGTATGTCCAATGGCTGTAGGCTATTGAGTATTTGAAATATAACCAATACCACACAAGGAAGGGATTTTTTTTACTTTGATTTTTTTTCTTTTTTAAATTCATAACTAATAACTGAGTCATAATCCAATTACCGAAAAGCTTATGTTTAGAAAAAAACTGAGTATGCAAATCTGTTTTTCAACTGTTTTCAATGTTGAAATCTAAATAGAGATCAAGCATTCCCCATAAAATTTAGCCTCCAAACCGTGATGTTGTAAGTGTGAAATTTGCACCTGATTTTAAAGAACTAGTTTTTAAAATGCAAAATATCTTAATTCTTTATGTCGAGACAACAATTTTTGGTATGTTGGCTTCGGTAAGATTATTATTAAAAGATAGCTAGCTTGCAATAGCTGGGGTAACGACACATCTTTTTGGCTTCTTTCTCATCCCCAATCCCTGATGATTTCTGGAATCACCTCCCAGATAGACGACTGGCAACTGTACTCTTGTCTTAGGGTCTGCATTTTGGGAACCCAAACCAAGGTTGGCGCTCATGTCATTACCATAGCTTTGTTTATTTTCTCATAGAATATCAGCCTCGTGAAGTCAGGAACCGTGTTTGGTTTGCTTCTGTTCCCAGTGCTCAGTACATGCATATAAACTATGTGAACAGCTTCCAAACTGAACCCAATGCCCCACCCCTCCCTCAAACTGACTCTTCATCCCAGAGAAGAGTCTCATCAAACAAGAATCCCTCAGGTCAGGAACCTGAGCATCATCCCATCTCCTCCTTCCCTGCATCTCATCACTCACCTGGTCCTATAGACTGGAACTCTAGATACCCTTCCAAGTTATGTCCTCCTCTGAACCCCTGTGGCTCCAACTCCAGTGCAGACGCCCTCCTCTCTCTCCTGAACCAACACACCAGTCTCTTTCGGGGACTCCTGGCCTCCAGTCCGCACCTCATGCCACCCCAGAGGCATTTTTCTGACAGATATTGAATCGGGGTCCCCTTCCTCATTCAAACACATTCCTTGGCTCCCCTCTGCCCACAGGTGCCTTGGTCTAGCCCTTGCCTGCCGCTTCATAATTCTCCCAGTCTCTAGAGCAGGGCAAGTGACTTTCTCTGGAAATTCCTCAGACCCCTCTTGACTCTGAGCCTCTGCATATCCTGTCCCCTCTGCCCAGAACATTTGTCCTTGTCCTCCCTAACTTGCTAACCCAGCTCATGTTAGGCTTCAGATGAGCTGTGACCTCTACCAGGAGGCCCTCAGGCCCTGCTCAGTGCCTGCTTTGCACTATGCACCACTCCCCTGTCCTGGCACTAAGGCTCTGCCCAGGGATGAACTGCTGGTCACACACCCGTGCTACCCCCCACTCCAACCTGCAATCACCACGAAGACAGAAGAGAGTCTGTCCTGTACACCTCGCCCCTCAGCGCCCCTTCCGCACCTCCCTAGGCTGGTTCCCCCCAGGCTGCATCTTGCCACCCCACCGTGGCCTGGGGTGACTCACCTTCTTTCCCCGGCGGAATGTGCTGTACCAGTTTCCAGGCTTCTCCTTGGACCAGGAGGCCAGCTTCACCTGGGAGACGGTGGGAGGGTCACTGTAGCAGCCGCCTGTGGTGGCCACGCATTTACCCCGGGCATCTACCTCCTCACACCGAAGGCTGTGAACTGAGGGTACCTCCGGCCGTGCTCTGGCCACGGAGTGGGCCCAACCGATCAACGAGAGGGGCGAAGGGGCTTCTGCCCCTGCACAGTCCCCAACAAGGAAAGATGGGAACTGGGGGATGAGTACCTCGGCTCCTCACCCTCGAAGGAAACTCCTGCTGTCGTGTCTGTTCCCTAGTGGGACTGAGCCCTGGGTCCTCAAGAGCACCATTTAAATGCCACATCCTCTCCTGGATGCCTTCCCTAGCCGCCCTGTGTCCCCTCCCCTGGAGCGTCCTGGCTCAACTCCTAAATAAATGGCTCATCTCAAATCTTTGTCTCAGGGTCTGGATCTGGGGAACCCAAACCCCGACCTTAAGAATTCCCTGGAGTCGCTTCTCTTGAAGCCATCGAGGCCCACCCAGGCGCCTGCTGAGAGACCTGGTCCTGCACCTCAGCCCCGCTAAGTGGGAGGTCTGCGCTCGTCTGCAGTCCCATCCACTGGGCATCTGAGCTCCTGCTAAGCCCGGAACCTGAGCGCTCGAAAATACCAGCACAGGTTCTTATGTACACTTGGGCAGGCTGCGGCTGCGGCTAGTAAGACCAGCCAGCACGTCGGGATTAATAAATGTCTCCTGGTATTGGCCTCAGGAACACCACTGCCCAACCATCCTAGGCGGGAGGCACTTTCTCGAGCTCCATTCTACAGATGGAGAAACCAAG